CCTGCCGTTTTGTGTCACCCCCCGCCATCCCTTTCCCCATCCCAGCTGAAAACCACCGTCTGAGCTCCCAGCGCTGCCCAAAATGCCCCAAATTGCTTCTGGTTTAAGTGAATCCCATCTGGGGTTGGATCAGAGGGACGGGAGCACAGTGCCTGTGGGTGGGGGGGCGCTGTGGGTGGGACATGTGCCCGGGTGGGCTCTGACACCCCATCCCTCTCCCCCGGCCAGGCCGTTTGGCCGTCCGGTACAGAATGTATCGCCAAATACAACTTCCACGGTACCGCCGAGCAGGACCTGCCCTTCAGCAAAGGAGACGTCCTCACCATCGTCGCCGTCACCAAGGTAAGGCAAGGAAATCCCGGGATTGCCACCAGATGCCAGGAGCATCCCTCCGTCCCACAACCGCAGCGTTTGCCGCGCCGCCGGGATCCCCGCTGGGATTCACGCCGAGTCAGCGGGGCAGGAATCGGGGCCACGCGTTCCGTTAATTAAATCCACAGCCTCGTTAGTTAAGGTTTCTCCAAAACGCATCTCGAGTGCCTCCCGGGAGGAGGAGGAGGAGGGAGCGGAGAGGCTCGGAGTCAAGGAGCAACGCTAAAAAAAACGGGGGGATGGCAAAAGAGAGGGACCAGGGGCCAAGGGGGCTCTGGGATGCCCCACAGCCTGGGTGAGGGGTCACAAGGGCTACCAGCATCGGGATTTATTAGCCCAAGCGCTGCCTGTGACCGTTCCTGCCCACCCTGCCCACGGCGAGTGCCGGGGTCCCTGGGGTGGGGGGACGCGGCGGGGGCTTGTCGTGACATCTCCACCGTCCCCACAGGACCCCAACTGGTACAAGGCGAAGAACAAGGTGGGCCGGGAGGGCATCATCCCTGCTAACTACGTGCAGAAACGGGAAGGAGTGAAGGCTGGGATCAAGCTCAGCCTCATGCCGTGAGTACCCGCCGATACCCCCCGATGGGGAATTTTGATGTCCCGGAGCCAGCGGTGACCCCCGGGCTGGAGGAGCCGTGGGGGGGGCGGGGGCACAGAGGGGCTG